TGAACGAAATTCGTTATCATTCGTGCAAGTATCCGTTTGCGTCATTTGACCACCATGCAGCGCCACTTGCCTCCAACAAGCGAATGGCCGCTGCTGACGCGTAACTTTTGATTGACCTGTTGATTGCGTCGAAACTATATCACATATCTCACATCACTTATCCCAGAAACGAAAGTTACCTTCAATTTAAAAACGTGACGAGGCTGTCAAAGTTATTTTGGAATTTTTTTTCGACAAACTAGCATCGCAAACATGACACGGGATTTTCATATCGTTTAAGCTTCGTAAAAAGAAGGAGCCATTAGTTTGTATCACAGGCTAGTACGACATTCTACACGTTGCGCCAACACGTTAAACTAATTAGCCCGGAAATCAGGTTATCAAACATCAATCATTATCATCAGTGACAAGTCGTCATGTCAACTGCAACAAGCAAGACATTTCCTCTGATCAGAAAGTTTTGATATTCTTCATAGAGCAAGCGGCCGAACTTCTGGCATGGCCCACTTTGGTTCTGTGTGATGTGTGCAATTCATAGGTTTTTGGCGTGAACTGTACATTTTTGGCGTATAATCGTATAATCCAGTTTCTCAAAGCAAAAATATACAATTACAATGTACGACACTCCAAAAATACACAGATAATGTTACAATCTATGACCCAAATATACGCGAAAAATATTGCATGAGTTTCTCAAAGCCAAGAACAAATGTACGACAAAGCTTAATTTTGATAAGTCCATGATGAATTTGGTAATGCAACTAACGCAAGAATTTGCGCCGTAGATTATAAAAACTGAACTTAGGATTGCTACTTATTGAAAGACAAAATTGCTGAAAAAGGAAGCCTAAACAGCATGCAACAGCTGCAGAAGGCACAACAGAGCATACAACATGAGTGCGAGCAGTAATAGTGAGGGTTCCAGCCTTTCAGGCAAGAAGCCTTGGATGGGCATGCCAAGACCGGAAGATAAGGCAAAACCGCCTGGTCAAGGAGCTTCCTTGCAAGAACGTCAAAGTAGATTCGAGTTGAGAAATTTGAGTGGCTGTTACTTGTTATGAATACTATGCATTCTATGTGTATGCAAGTTGCATTGCAGGCACTTTCAAGGTGAGATATGGGTAGTATCATCGCCTACCCTTGTTGAAAACATTATGATGTGCAATAAATGCTAACAAAATAGCCTAGCATTGCGCAATAATTATTATCTAAAATTGACATCATTTGGATAAGACAGCTTGCACACATCTTGTGCATCACTGTGTCATAGACAGCAGGTAGCCTGTATGAATTCATGTAACAGAAACCTACTTTCAATAATCAGCCGTATAAAAGGACCCTGCTCCCAATGCCAAGTACAGCAAGCTGCTTATGACTGGATCCATGAATGACCCTTTTTCAGCGCTCATTGACAGCTCGTGTTTTGCTACACATGCTCCTTTAAGCTCTGAAGGCTATGGTCTGACAATCCCATCTTCAATGCCTAAGACATCCTTAGTAAGCACAGGCATTGCGTACTTACTATCACATGATCTCGTCCGCAATCGCAATTGACAATCGCAAATGAATTTCAGAGCCGTCGCCATCGGAAGATTTCAACCTGCCTGAAATACACTGGACACCGGCGGCCGGCGGCGTCGTTCTCGACCTGCGGAGAGCGTCTCACTCATTTTCGTTCTCAATGTGCCGGTAAGCAGTCCGCCTGTGGTACAATCGGCACGCTGCGTGCAACTACAAGAGGGCTGACTTCGGCGGTATGCGCCTAAGTCTCTCCCGGATCCAGTGGGGGCTGGGCCAAACGGTGGGACACCTCTTACACACAGCTTGAGATGGGCATCGCCAACCACGTCCCCATCGTGATCCTCCGGCGCCGACTGACCCCTCGTTAGGCGGCGCGGTGCGAGCTGCTCCCTGGCTGAAGGAGGCAGCTTTCCGATGTCTGCGGAGAAACTCCGGCGCGGTGAACCGCGGCTGAGTTTTGCGGACAGGAGACACGCTTTTAAGTCCGTGTCCAAAGTACGCTCAAAATTTCTATAGAGTCACCGAAGATTTCAATACCAACCCTAAGCTGTACTGGTTGTTTAAATATGTGTCCCGAAGAAGTCATGCACATTACCAGTCTCGTATAACTCTAAGCAGACTCTCGTGTCGGATAACATGGCTCGCGCTGCCGCGTTGAATGACGCCTTTGCTCTAAAATTTGCTTATATCCGTGTGCATCTCCCTCCAGCTGCGCCGTGTTGCCCAGTCGAGTCACTGAGGCCAACTGAGTTTCTGAGGCAGCCGTGCGATTCGCAATTTCTGCGGTCGGTCCCAACAGGCCTGCGGACTAACGATATCAGCGCCCGCAAACTCACTAAGTGCGCTGACGAGTTAGTCGCTCTGCTCACCAGGATTGTGACCTCTTGGTAAGTTCAGATGTCTTCCCGGCTAGGCGGAAGCAGGCAAACGTCATATCAAGTTTTAAGAAAGGAGATAGGGAGGAGCCGGCAAAATTACAGAAGAATATATATATATATATATATATATATATATATATATAATATCTGCTTCCTCTCTTCGGAAAGATACTGGAACGAATTCCACATGACAAGCTGTTCCGCCAAGTATCCCCCGGTGTTATGCCATCATCATCAGCATGGTTTTATTCCTAAGCGTTCGTACGGCGCTAACTTTTGTGTTTACCTGAATTGGCGTGGGAGGCCATGTCGAGGAGATACCAGACGGATGCCATTTACACTGATTATTCGGCTGCTTTTTCAGAGCGCTAATGACGGGCTTCTGAACCACAGGTCGAAGCATTGATGCCACTTAAGGGAATCTGCACTGCGAAGGCTGATCTTGTATCTGTCCTACAGACGTCAGAGCGTGATCGTCAACGAAAAGAAAACTTCTGATTGGAAACCGTTGGCCTCCGGCGTCCCGGAAGGATCACTCATGACTCCCTCTTTTTTACTGTTATTCTGACTGTCTTTTGTATGCCGATGACGTGAAAAAGTCCGCAAAATTACGTCCCGGCTGACGGACTGCTGCTGCAGAATGATCCCGATTATCTGGTAGCGTGGTCAGTCAGGTGAGGGCCGACCCTTAACCCTAAACAATGTAAAACTTTCACGATGACCCTCAGGCGTGCTCCCATCCAGAACATGTATCATATGAATAGAACTGAGCTTGAACATGCGTTTAAAATAAGGGACCTTCACGCAACGCTGGATACCAAACTAATCTTCGCTGCACATATTTGACGTAGTCAATCGTGGCAATCGAGCACTTGGTCTCTTTATTTTGTCCTTCCAAGTCGGTACCAGTTGATTAGAATTCATCTGAAGCGCTGTGATGACTGCGTATTTTTACAAACGTGCGATCAGTTTCAGAATATTGCAGCGTGATTTGGGCGTGGGCGAGCAATTCCCACACAGTGTGGGTTGGTGAGTGCAGCACAAGTTTCTATTTGCTTACTTACTCACACATTCTCCGGGCAAACAGCTTCTTTTTTATGACAGCTTTCCGCTTCATTTCAAAATCCCATCCCAGCAGCACGAAGATTGCTGCACGGGTTATCTTTCTGAGGAACATCTTCCAAGGTAAACTGGGCTCTTCAACTGTTGCTAGCTGCTTCCCCTTGCTTGTGCTGCTTCAGTCGACCCGCACTCTAACTCTGCTCGCTGCACCTCGCGCTCGTTTGCAAGAGTACCGAGCGGTCCGTTTTTTTCAGACCGCCAAGCACTAGAAGCGCTTTCTTAGCGAGCAACACTAGCACGGGTGTTTTTATCACAGTTTTGGCATTTTAGAGTTCGGTATGCTTAAACTCTGTAGAAGCTTTACTTAGCTCTGAGATGTTTTCCTGAATAATGCTCATCCTACTGTGTGTTGTGCATTACTGTATTTTATTTAAATGGCATTGCCTGTTGGAGTGCAGCGCTATTGGCGATAAAAGAAAAATAAACAAATAAACAAATAGACATAAGGTAGTTTGCGGCCTCCGTGATAGACGCATCAGATTCTGACCTCGTGGTCAAACGGCGATGGATACGAGCTCCTGGACGCGGGCATCGTTTGGCCTGCGTGACATGGAAAGCTCAGCTGAAGCCTGGCCAGAGGAGGGTCACCCTGCCCCGGGGCCGCAGCATTGTGTGGCACCCACAACCCCGCGCGGTCCTGTCCGTCGAAAAGGCAGGGTCAAAGCTATCTGGTGAACTAGAATGTCACAATCTGAGTGGAAGCTTTAGGATGGGCTCAGCAAGTGTACTAAGCAAGTGTTCTGAAGCCCAGAACGCCCACTGTGCAGGTGGTGTTGGGTTCAGAGTTAACCCCGAGTTCGGAGTCTGAACCCAACACCTCCCTCGCAAGTACACTCGAAATAAATCACGAGAAGACACTAGCTGATGAATTCTTCACAATGCTAAAAGATCAGTCTGTTTTGAAAGCCGCCAGACGATACTGGTGAACTCTGGATCTTGAGCCGAACTTTCCTTCCCGCCATCTGTAAGGTCTTTTGACAGAAACCATTATAATTTTCATAGTAGACGTGGCAGCATGGTGGATTTTGACTAAGCATATCAACAGTCACACGCCCATAGCGAGCGGGGATGAGTGGCATGCATGTTTGTGATCTTTAACCACATTACCGTAGCCGAGCCGCACCAATGTACGTGCTATAACTCAACGTGCAGGAAGACTCGTTTTCTTTTTTCGGGACATCAAGCCATCAAAGATACCGTATGTAGATTTCAAACAATTTTTAGGCATTGCCTGTCATTGCCCTGCAAGCTGACCTCAGGACCCCAGGACACGACCTACCACGGCTATGTGAGATGATTCGCTGGCGTAATATTCATGGTGGTTATGCAGAAATATTCTTAACATGACTGATGGACTGAAAGGGCTACATGAAGGATCACCCAGATTGCATTTGTCATAGCTTCGGCTCTGTACGAGACACAAGGGACAATACGTACAAGTAGGTACGGTAGGTAGGTAATGGGCCCTTAGTGCATTACCTGCTATGGCTATGCAGGACGACCCCACGCCGTGTACTGCCCTGGCCACCAGTAGAGATGAGGCGCCGGATGCCACGGCAAACACTGCAGCGTCAAGGGTGAGGCATGTGATGCGCCGCACCGTCAGTGTCCGACACCGCCTGCTGAAACACTGTCCCGAAACACTGCCCGCCCCGAACACAGAGCGCCCGGGGCTGCCCATTAATGAAACAGACACGCGGAATGCCTTGGAGCTTGCCGGGAGGAGCTCACATGTCCGGCGGTTGCCCCTCGCCTCAGTTTGCGGGGGAACGGCGTGATGCAGTTGGGGGACCGTCCGCTTACGGTGCCGCGTCGTACGCTGGGTTCGATTCTGGCCCCCGGCTGAGAGTTTCGTCGTCCTTTTTCACAACAGACGCGAGGTGCGCGCATTGCAGCCTTACGGTGCGTCACCTCTGAACAAAATTTTCGGCACCTGGT